AACTGTTGCCACGAACACGGCTGCGTTCGTAACACACACTGGAACTTCATTCTTCTCTCAAACCATTCGATCAATTCGAAGTATGCGAGGAATTAAATAAAAAAGGATCCTTGGAAATTGCGTTACCTCTAATTACCGATAATTCGACGCTTTGAACTTTTTAAAAGAAGTACGAAACAGTACTTCGTGTCTCTTCTATTTATGAAATTAATCTGTTGCCATAATTACGCAACGGAGAAGCAACAAGAGAAACGAAACGAAGAAAGAGCGAGGAAACGCGAGAACGTAGCTTAGAGAATTCGTTGGTGTACACACACATGACTCGTTCACGTGTTCCAGTTTCGTTGAGTATTTCACAATCGAACTTTTTTTTTTCTGTCGCATTTTTACCTCCCCGTGGCACTCTTGTTCCCCGCGGGAGATGAGAGCGAATTAACGCAACACGCAGGATTTCGCAAGTGAAAAAGAACGAAGTCCTTAGCTTTCGTTTTTTCCTTTTTTTTTTTTGAGAGATTCTTCTAGATAAAAATTAAAAAGAAAGGTAGATGTAATAGGGAGAGATGTAGTTTTATTCTGAGTCCATGGAAGATTGTGCAGGCACATTGTCTTCAGTTGAATCAATTGATTCACTTATTGAATCGTTTTCAGGCCTAACTTCTTCGGAGGGGCTTTCTGATTTTTCAGAAACTTCTGGTTGCTCGTCCTTGTTTACGTGCTCCTTGGACTCTTTGTTCATTTTCTGTAGTGCCTGGTTTAAATGTTTCTTACCAAACCTTCTGAATTTAAAGTAAGGAAGGTAGTTTAATTCCCCATCCCAATTCTTTAGCACCATGCAATGATGTGCATCTAGAATATCAGGAATTTCTGGAAAACAAGTTTTGTAGGTTAGTATATAATGGGAAGGAACAGAATGTTTGTAATTGTTTACCTAGTCCACATGTATTGTACTCTTCAAGGTCTCTCTCCTTGGTCATCCTTATCACATCTTCCCTGCTGGCATGTTGTCTGATTCTTTTGCCACCGACAGATCTCTTGATATTAATCTGTTCCATCTCTTTGTCGTTCCTCGCTATGTACCTTTGAATTATACATAGAACTACAAGTAATCACAACTCTAACTTGCAGTTTTCTTTTACCTACACTTCTAACAAACGTGCAGTTAACTCTGGAGTGTAAGGACACACATCTGGAACCATGTGTTCACGAATCCACATCATTCTTTCTGCTACTAAAGTCTGTTTAATGAAACCATACGTCTTTGCCTTTTGTCTGTTTAATATTCTAGAACAGAACACATTTACTTCCTTCACAGGTGTTCAGAAGTGGACAGTGAATAGAAAAGTCGTGAAATTTAGTAATAATTTCACTTACTTTTTTGCCCTTTTTGCAATAGCAATAGATTTCCTGCTATTTGGATGCATAACCTTCTGCGCCTTTCGGTACTCCTTTCTCAACGCAGCAGACTGCAACAAGGAACATTATGCGCAATTATAGTTTAGAAAATCAGGTGTTTCGTTTAAATATGTATGGAAAAAGTCTCACCATGTTTGTGGTTTGTTGTTGCAATCGACGCGCTAACTCGTGAAGCTTCGACACAAACACTGTGTCTACTTAACCTATTTCTTAGCACGAAGAATCAGTGAAAACGTGGCGACACTTGCTTCCTTTTATTTGCGCGGGAAATACGTGTCGCATTGCGTGTAAAATTAGTGACAAATAAAGTTATATTAGTCAATTGTGTAAAGTTTACAAATTATTAAATGTATCTATTAAATTTAAGCAAACTGATTCAAGATTAACCTCCCCTTCCTCCTACTAACTTTGTCACGTCTGTTATTTAGGGAACATCATTTTCTTGTTGCTCCCAACGTTATTGATTTAGCGTAGAGTAAAATTACAATATTCGCAGTAGTTTTAGAATTAAACGTAATTGTGAAATTACGAATAAGAAAGTAACGTAATTGTTTATCACCAAATGATTCATCACATGCGCATGTTCTACTGTTGGCAAAAGATCGTAAACAGTTCTACCTAGTACACAATCCAACATACGTAGTCGTGCTCTCTACGAAGGATAACTCGTCGAGCTATTTAGCAATACAGAAATGAATAAAACCAGAAAAATAACGAGGGAAGACGAGGATAGCACCAGAGATCAGAGCTTTATCTAATATGTAAGGACACCTTTTCTTTGTTTTTAATTTTTTAGATAATTCCCAATGTGAAATTGATTGTACGGAGCTCTAAAATAAATCGAAAAATTAAAATAAAAAGTGTTAGGTTTATCCTGTACCTTGTCTGTGATTTTTATCCTATCCTATACTTTATTTGTATAATTATACAGATGCGTTTAATTCTCGTTCTAACTATTATTAATATTATATTATTTTATTTTATGCCCAGTCGATAATATTGTATGCGATACGAAAATGGTAAGGGGCACTCGGAGCCCTCTTGACCTCGACGGAGAAATGCGTTAGGTGTTGGGTCTATTCTGTACCTCGTCTGTGATTCGGAATTATCGAAACTTCGTCATTTTATTTTAATGTGTAGTAGGAAATTTGAATAGTAAATGTAGAGTTCTTTGATTAATTTGTGTGATTAATCTTTGTGTAATTCGTATTGGAAGATGATGTACCATCAGTAGTCGTGCTTGCCACCAAGTATAATTCGTCGTGGTATTTAGCAATACAGAAATGAAAAAGACAAGAAAAATAATGGGGGAAGACGAGGATAGCAACAGAGAAATGAGTTAGACCAGGAAAGAAATACGGGAAGACGAGGATAACATTAGAAGAACGGGTTAAATAAGGAAAGAAAAAGGGGTAGATAAGGATAGCATTAAACCAATGTGTTAGACAAGGAAAGATATATGGTTAGACAAGGACAGAAAAAATTTCAATTCGATACTAACGCCATCTCGCGTCTGGTGACGCGAAGTACGATTTCTTAATAGGAACACAGGATATAAACAGAGGTATTAGACAAGGAAAGCACTAGTGTGCGACAAGGACAGAGAGAGAACGCTTCCTATTGGCTGGCGGGCCGCCATGTCCACCGTCCAGAGCCTCCGCCACGTGGTCCGATGAAAAATCATTAATAACTCAATAATTACGATGATTTTGTGAACTTTTAGAATTGAAGAATGAAGAGTGGACCTTTAGCTACTTTCACATATAGTTTTTAGTGCAATATACCTTTTCAATAATTAGTTATTAATAATTTTAGGATAAGGAGAGAGAGAGAACGTTCCCTATTGGCTGGCGGGCCGCCATGTCCACCCTCCAGAGCCTCCGCCATGTGGTCCGATGAAAAATCATTAATAACTCAATAATTACGATGATTTTATGAACTTTTAGAATTGAAGAATGAAGAGTGGACCTTCAGCTACTTTCACACATAGTTTTTAGTGCAATAGACCCTTTCAATAATTAGTTATTAATAATTTTAGGAGAGGTTGTCAGGAACGATGCTTTTTACGTTTATATACGTTTACGGTTTATCAATAATTTTATAGCTTTTTACTAAATTCCCATGCAACTAATTAAACGCGTTTGAAAGGTGATTCCTTTGGCTATATTCTCATATAATTTTTACTAACATATTCGGTTTAGTTTAAGAGTTATTAAACATTCTTTGGGAGAGTATTACACCCGTCATATTTCAGCGTAATAGTTTTCTGTCATTTTCATTAATAACTCAATAATTAAGATGGTTTTGTGAACTTTTAGAATTGAGGAATGTAGCTTGAACCTTTAGCTATTTTCTTATATAGTTTTTAGTACCCTAAACCCTTTCAGTAATTAGTTATTAATAATTTTAGTACGTGATGTTGGGAACGATACCGCATACCGTCAAGTACCTTTACGGTTTATCAATAATTTCATAGCTTTTTACTAAATTCCCATGCAACTAACTATACGCGTTTGAAAGGTGACTCCTTTGGCTATATTCTCATGTAATTTTTATTAACATATTCAGTATAGTTTAAGAGTTATTAAACGTTATTTGGGAGAGTATTATACCGTCGTATTCAAGCGTAACACATTTTCGTTAGTTTCATGAACAAGCATGATTAATTGTGTACTTTTAAGCGTGTAGAATGTAGTACAGACCTTTTACTACATTCTGCAATAATTTTTGTACGTGTATCTGATGCAGTTTATTAGATATTAGCAATTATTTATAATAGTTGAGCTTACTCGGATACGACGAGCTGTGGACTCTCCCATATAATGTTTAATAACTCGTAAATTAGAGCAGCTATGTCAATGAAAGTTATAGGAGAAGCTAGCTAAAGAAACAGGCTTTCCAACGAATATCTTAAAGTGTATAAATTATGTGAGTAAAAGTGCGAAAGTAATGAAAAACCTTAAGACAGTGTTGTACTCTCTGGACTCTCCGCGAAAGAATTGTTAATAACTAATTATTACGAAGGTCTGGTACATTAAAATCTATATGAGAAAGTAGCTAAAGGAACGACCTTTCGAACGCATATACGTAAGTGCATCAATTCGTTGTACAAAGTTACAAAATTAATGAAAAATAAGACGAACGTGCGGTATCCCGTACTAAATTAACCGACAACCTGCACTAAAATTGTAATAACTAATTATTGAAAGGATCTACTGTATTAAAAACTATCTGTAAAAGTAGCTAAAGGTCTACACTACATTCTTCAATCCTAAAAGTTCACAAAACCATCTTAATTATTGAGTTATTAATGAAAATGACGGAAAACTATTACGCTGGAATATGACGGGTGTAATACTCTCCCAAAGAATGTTTAATAACTCTTAAACTAAACCGAATATGTTAATAAAAATTATATGAGAATATAGCCAAAGGAGTAACCTTTCAAACGCGTATTGTTAGTTGCATGGGAATTTAGTAAAAAGCTATGAAATTATTGAAAAACCGTAAACGTATATAAACGTAAAAAGCATCCTTCCTGACAACTTCTCCTAAAATTATTAATAACTAATTATTGAAAGGGTCTATTGCACTAAAAACTATATGTAAAAGTAGCTAAAGGTCCACGCTATATTCTTCAATCCTAAAATTTCACAAAACCTTCTTAATTATTGAGTTATTAATGAAAATGACGGAAAACTATTACGCTGGAATATGACGGGTGTAATACTCTCCCAAAGAATGTTTAATAACTCTTAAACTAAACCGAATATGTTAATAAAAATTATATGAGAATATAGCCAAAGGTGTCACCTTTCAAACGCGTATAGTTAGTTGCATGGGAATTTAGTAAAAAGCTATGAAATTATTGAAAAACCGTAAACGTATATAAACGTAAAAAGCATCGTTCCCGACAACCTCTCCTAAAATAATTAATAACTAATTATTGAAAGGGTCTATTGCATTAAAAACTATATGTGAAAGTAGCTAAAGGTCCACTCTTCATTCTTCAATTCTAAAAGTTCACAAAATCATCGTAATTATTGAGTTATTAATGATTTTTCATCGGACCACGTGGCGGTGGCTCTGGGGGGTGGAGCATGGCGGCCCGCCAGCCAATAGGAAGCGTTTTCTCTCTGTCCTTGTCGCACACTAGTGCTTTCCTTGTCTAATATCTCTACATGCTGTCTTCCTATTGAGAAATCGTAGTTCGCGTCACCAGACGCGAGATGGCGTTAGTTTTGCTTGTAAGTTTTTTGTCCTTGTCTAACCCTATACATTTCCTTGTCTAACTCATTACTCTAACGCTATCCCTCTTTGCCCCTATTTCTTTCCTTGTTTAACTCATTTTGGTAGTGCTATCCTTATCTACCGCTATTCGTGTCCTTGTCTCCCTTTGCTATTACTACTCTAGTCATGTTTATTATATTTAATTGATACTTACAACAAATTTTTAATTGCTTTAACATTGCTAATAATGTCAATAATAAAATACAGTTTAGAGCACATTTTAAAGTACGTCATTTATCGAATAAATAGTGTCCCGTGTTAAATAACAATTCAGATGGTAGTTTATAATTATATGTAAGGATTAAATAAAATTGTTGCATTCTTTATCTTAATAAATTGGCTTAATTTGTTAATATCATATTGGATAAACAATTGCATGCAGCTGGAATTTGAAAATTAATATTTATAATCAATTTTTCATTTCTTTAACATCATTTATCCCAAAGGAAATGGACGAGGTGTGAGAGGGAAGAATATATAGGCTGTGAAATTCTATAAAACAATACTGGTTTATTGTAACCTTCTATAAAATACATTTCACATATTTATACATTTATTTATCTTACAATATGATTTTTTACATCTGTCGACCTTACCATCTTTGATGGTTCGATTGTGTTCGCTTTATATCGTAAAGGGCATAACAAATCCTTCGAACTTTTTCACACGATCGTTATTTGAGAACGTTCGACAAAAAATACATTAAGTGGTTAGGTCTACACTTTAACCTTGTCGATGGTTAGACGTAGCAAGCACAATCGTGGCGACGTCTATTGGCGATAAAGTTAACGTCGCAATATGGTTTACCATAACGTTTTTAGGCTAATTAACTTCAAAATTTTTCTTCTGTTTTGCGTTGTCCCCAACATGTTTAGATAATCATTGAAATTACAACCCTATTTTACGAAGTTTTCTATTTGATAAATGCGTATTAACGAAATTTTACACGAGGACATTGTTACTTGTCAATCTAGTTCACATTTGTCGAAAAGTGACACGAAACTGAAGAAGACAGTTGATAATGGGAATGAAACTTTTCATCTGGTTATTGCTCCTTCTGTCTTTAACCTCAGATGGAACAAGTTTCGGTAGAAAAAGATCCGCGAAGTGTCGAAGGTACAACGCGAAAATTCTCGGCCAAAGTGATGAAAATTCGACGACCGATTACTATTACGATTGCGATCCAACGGAATTTGGAATAGTACAGAAAATTCCATACCTACGTTCTTATTCAGCATGCGACACCGTGGAAATCGATTTCTCATCAGCCTGCGTACGATGCGGAATGTGCCTTGCCATTGCTGCAGAGGTTAATTCATTCTCAATATTAATTTATATAATTTCCATGTAAACATGTTTCCACTGATTAATTCGAATGAATGTAGTGTTTTTGTCGTGAATAAAAACAGCGAAAAGTTAAAATCTGAAGTAGATAATCATCAATTATATAACGAGGAATTATGTGTAATGTATATAACATAATTACGTGTTCTTTACACGCGAAAGCAAGTTTATCGAGATACTGAACATCATTGACACGTTCAATTCATATTTCTTAGATAAATAAAACGTTGATAGATGTTCACGAAGTATTGCCCCATCCATGCTTGAACGAGACCGAAGTCGAGCTTCTTTTGAGGACTATTTGTGATCATTCTTTTCAATAGTAAACTCCCAGTAGATTAATTATGTAACCAGTGTAAAAGGAAAGACGCATTTTTCTGTTTCCTTTTTTCGACAGCTATGGTTTTCGAGAAATAGACGGAAGGAGGTTAATTTCTGACAGGTTACCAGGTTCAATTTTAGTGACCACATCTGCTGATGGACTTTGGGGAAAAAAGTAATTGAACATGAACGTTTAATCGAAATAACCGTTACGGTATACTATATACAGGGTGGCTCGTAAGTCGCTTTATCATTTAAAATTTGAATAAACTGTTCGTTCTTTAATTATTCGTACAAATTTTTTTACAGAATATGTTAATTATCTTATAGGTTACTTTGACGTGAATTTTTCCATGATAAATTTTCAAAATCTGAAATAAAACTTTTAAAATATAATAGAAAGGAAGTTATTCAATTTTTAAAAGTGATTTTTAAAGTGACTTATGGGCTATTCTGTATATTTTACTTTGTTTTTATTTTATTCAGATTGAGAGATCTTTGTCATTATTATCTGGACGAAATCGGAGAGGTGCAATTATACGGACAATGGAAACAATGGTGCAACGACGAAGACGGCGAAATATTCCCCGATTTATCTAACGTGATGTGTCGGTAATAAAAAAAAAAAAATGGCTTTAATTAGATGAAAAATATTAAATTGTAAATTTTCATTCTCATTTTGTTATACGTTTCAGAAGTGAACACGGGATATTACGAGATTGCAGAAGCATGATGGACATAAAAGAATACGAGTCGCCGTTTAAAACGTACAATGCAAAAATAAAAATTACCGCAACGTACGACAAGTATGGCAAACGTAATTAGGAAGGATACTTTTCTTTATATACAATCATGAAAATGACAACGATCGAATCACACAGTGAATAACTTTATTGCTTTTTACCTTTTCTATGTATCTTTTCATATTACAAAAAAATAGCAACAATTGAGATATATTCGTGAAATGTTTCTTTATACAACTAATTTATCTAACTGTAATACTGAAGAAGAAACAGTAATATAATAAATAACACAGGCTCTCTGATAGTATGTTCTACCGACGATAATTAAAAACTTATGCTAATTTCAACCATTACATGTCGAGATTATGCAGGACGTCTCGTTCAATTTTTTTTTTTACTCAGTTAATCTTATTCTCTTCTTCTTTGTACACTGTTTGCTCGAATTTCACAATAAATAATTGCCCGGACTTTGGACCAGCCGACTTGGAATATACCTAGGCGAACTTTCGTCCACAAATCTTTGGACCATCGTTTAAAAGACACTTTTTTAAAAACGTATTCATGAGCCTGAAAAGAAGCGAAAAGTCATGTAGAAATAAGCTGCGATCGTATCGTGACACTATAACGATTTCTCTGTTAATTTTACACAAACACTTTGCATCTATTACCGCCTGTATGTAAAAGTATTGTAGAAAATATTGTTAAATGAATTTTTCAATCACTATCGTCAACAAATATTCGTTATCTTATCTCTGTAACTCTAAAGTCTAATTTTCGTTCCATCAAATCATTGATGGAAAGGAAAGACCGTATTATCTCTAGGTTTAGGCTTCTTCCTCGACTGTTCGACGTTCCAGTTCACTCGCTTGAAATTACTGCGTCTTTTACAGTCGAAACATGCTCCTCGATCGATATCCTCCTCCGAGTGATTCTCCTCGTTTCTCTTTCTTATTGGCGAGCTTTCTTGCGTGGAAACCGACGAACCCGAGGCGAACAGCTCGTTGTTCTCCGTTTTTTTCTTCAGCCGCGTGTCGTGATTGCCGGAGAAATTATTTTGTCGCGTGTGACGAGGATGGAAATGGGGAAAATGATGGAACGAGGTGAAACGAGGCAAATGAGATGGCATCAGGTGACGTTGACGCATCCCTCGAATGATCGTTTCCTTCATCTGTCGCCTTTTGTTCCAAATCCTCTCGACGATCCATATAGAAATGGCCGACAGGCAACCAGCGATTAGGATGAAAAAGGCAGAGTAAACGTCTGCCAATCTGGCGCTGTGGAAAGTGGTCGGTGATTTGCATCGAGGCATCTCTGGTAGCATTCGTTCTGTTATCCTATTCAGAACTCCTCGTTCGCGTATCTTCAGTATACTGAAAAATATTTTGGAAATTTTTCAATAGGTTTTTTCAGACTAATTCAATTGAGTCGACGGGAAAATTTTCTTCGATTCACTTTTTCTTTTAAGTCTTTGACTGCTGGAAGCTTGAATGTGAAGTATAGCGTAATAACATTAGCACAACTAATCCTCGAAAAGGTGCAATTTTTTTTTTTTAAATTGGTTATTTAAATATGACTCATACTGCATATTACGCTAGCCTAATCATTTTTTTTGTTGAGTATTTCGTATCGTATGTTTGTAAAATAAATAATTTACGAATATGAATCTGAAAAGCGATGATAGTATCTATATAGCGTTCGATTATCCCGAGCGCCGATAGCAGTCAAAGCGTTAAATTAATTGCTTATCAAAGAAAGATCTCCCGAGGATTTCAATAAAACTTAAAAGGACGTATTTACTTTCTGTAAAATATTTCATTCCAACGAGTAATTTTGAAGAAAAAAATTAAATTATCTCTGCAGTAAAAATTATCTGCATATACGTTTTTTCCATTTGCAATTTTAAATAGTATAATTTCGATATAGTATAAAACGAGTAAAAAAACGGTTCACCCGGTTTGTCCTTTCTTAAAAAATTATAAAATTGCAAGTACTCTTTTGCATACATATTAAAGTATGAAAATGCACGTAAAATCTTCCGTACTTTTTCTCCGTCTCTTTCAAACATTCCACAAAACGGACATACTTCAAATTGATAATTTTCTTGTAAGGACAGGAATTCGCCATCGGCAGTGCGACCATTGTGAAAGTTTGCGAAAGCGGCAGCTCCTTCAAGGTGCATCGTTCCTGAATCAACGTCGATCTCAATGCACGTCTTGCAAGTGTGGCGCTCACGAAGAAACCGTAATGTCCCTGCACAGCCTTAGTGAGACCGGAAGTGGTGTCCAATCGAGACTCTCGGTTGTTGAACGCTCTTATGTACAATTCGCGTAGATTGCTGTCGTTCACGTTCTATAGAAACAAGATTTTTCTCTTAATTTTTTTCAATTAATGTTTTATCCGGCTGAATGAACTCACCCTAATGTATTCATCATCGGTTGTGCTGTATCCCAATTTAAAGTTATGAGATAGAATGTCGGTGATGGACTTGATACCGCTTGCCTGTACCGATAAGATCGAGGTAATGAACCCGGCGTAAGCGTTATACATTACCAATGCAAACATCAGGCTGAATAATAATACTGTTTTCCCCGATGGAGTGCGCGGTGTCCACGGTGAACCTGTGTGGAAGCATCGATCGTCCATTTTTAATCTAGATTTTACGTGTATAGGAACATTGTTCGGTCAAAAAAATTTTAGACAGCTTAATTAACTGCTATTGGCGCCTATTAGGCCTTTTGAAAATTTGTTTCGGCTATATGGTACAGCGTTGTGGTACACTTCCGTGTTAATTTAACCCTTTGAGGACGATAGACTCGTATAGGTGTTCACAAAACACTATGAACGCAATAAATTCATATTTTTAAGTAATAAAAATAATTAGAGCGATCGTGAACTCGTGTACGTATATTTGAGGAAAATGTAATTTTCAATTAAGTGTAACTTAAATGTCTTCCGTCGGCAAAGGGTTGATATTTAATTTGATCTTTTACAATACCATCCATCTTGATTTAAAGAAGCTCGTTTTTTCCTTAGGATAGTCCAAAAAAATATATGTGATTTTCAGATTTGTGCAATCTCAATTTTTCTGGCGAGCAGTGTATATTTCTGTTTGCAATAAATGATTTTTCAGGATGTTTAATGAATTATAGTACCTTGCATGCACATAATACTGATACACCAAAGCGCAGCCTCTCCGATTCCAACACGTTTCTCCTCGTCGTAATGTAGAACAGTCTGTGCTGCGTAAATGATCAATCCCATTGCGATCAGTATCATGAAATACGTAAAAGCGACACAACCCAACAGATAATTGTTAAACGGCTGTCGAAATATGTCTCTCATGGTCCCAGTTTCCAATGGATGGTAGTAAATGTTTCTCCTATATCCAAAAGTTGATCAAATAATATTCTTTTCCCAAAAGGAAACGGAGAAAAATTGAGAAATCTTGTCGAATGTTGTCTAATACACCGGGTGGTCCAAAAAGAAACGCACTTTTCAAAAAAATCATAAAAATTTGTTTGCTCAAAGCAATTTTTATAACTTAAAATGAAGTTTAAATTAATGGAAAAATTAGATTTTCAAAATTTCTCTCTAAATTAAAAAAAAAAATGGCCGTTCATTTAACGTCGAATCTTTGAATTCATCACGCAAACGAAATAATCACTGAAAAGTGACATAAAAGTAATTCTTCTCATAAAAATAATTCTGTGTTGCCTCGTGAAATAATTTTCATGGTGACCAAATTTCTCCTCCGCTAATCATCGAGTTACAAAGAAAGGTGCAGATCTTTCTGGACCACCTTGCATCACCACTGCACTTTTCAACGACCCTAAGTCGAGTAAATCTGGACAAAAATTCACTCTCACATATAACGAATCAGGGGATGACTGAACGACATTTCCGCCTGTCTCTCCTCGTTCACAGTAATGTAACCCAGTCCAATGTCCACAGCTCCGGTGACAACGTCTCCGAGAAGGTTGTTCCAAACTTTGTTATTCAGGGTACCAAGTTTCTCGTGCGGCACCAGTTCTATGCTACAAAATGATTCATCCGTGAGCTACACACGATTACGCAACGACGTGACGGTCGTACACATGCAGAGGAAAATTTGCAATAGCTGTTAATAAACAAACGTAAAAACATGGAACGTTTAGAGTGGAAAAGTATGGTAAACGACTCGCGGTGACTTTATAACGATGTCTAACATCACCAGATATCTGTTTACATTTCAGAAACAAGTTCTCCCACTTATCGTGCGTTTTTATTGAGAGACGAAGGGTGCTCTCGTGATCTTATCGCTGTTCTCCGTGTGATTTCGCGAATTCAGACCTTTGAATCGGAATCATTTTACACGATATTTCGACTTTTGAACTCGGGCCAGATAACGAAACACACGTATCACGATCTCGTGTTTAGGTATCGTCGGAATTGCGCAGATGTGTATTGTTTGAATACACTTTCTTTCGCAGAAATTATTACCTTATCGCGAGCTGTGAATGGAAGATAATGTACGTTGATCGTTCGATCAATTGTTACCTTTATTTTCAGAATAGGAAAATGTTGTTGTAGATTCGTCTCGGTAATGAGAAGTTATGCTAGGATTTAGGTATTTTTAGGGTTGATTTTTGATTGATCGATTTAGGGTTGTTACGGTGAAATGGAAATTTTGCTTAATTTGACAATTGGGAAATTTGATTTAATTCGATAATTGGAAAGTTTGTGAAATTTAAGGATTTACTTGAGAATAAGGACTCGCTTCAGATTAGATTGGAATTTGAAAGATTAGGAACATTTTAAAGTATGTACTTCGTATTTTGTATAGTGGTCATTGAACTTGTATCATAAAAGTTGCTATCTGATCGTGATAAAAATAAGGCACAGTAATCTGTTATATTTTGTTAAATGTAATAATAGAAAAAGAACACACCATGTGATATAGATCAGAGTTAACGAGATAATTGGTTAAACGAAACATGTCACCTTTAAACCAGATTTATGCAAGTTAATTTCTACGCTGCATTCTCAATATTATAATTAGATTAACTAGATTGATTCTAATTAATCTCACGATGTAGAACTATAATAACGTATGTGACATTAAATACCGCAAAAAGGTAT